GGCTCTTTGGTTTCTAGTTGGAGTTGGGTTTCATGGTGTTCTCCTCTTTGTGCGTGGTGAATGTTGGTCTTCTGGCTGTAATGAGTTGGTGAGGATCTTCCGCAGGGTTGGGTGTCTTGCCGTGCTTTCTTTAAGCCTTTCCTTGTCCTTGAAGACCTTTATCTCTCCTATCTTAATAGATAAGTTCGCAGGGCAAAGGATTCTAGGGGAGTCGTTTTTTGTTTCTTTTTCTTTCAGCTTTTGGAAGATGTTAGTCCACTCTCTTCTCTTCTTAATGGTTTCTGTTGATAGGCCTGAGCATATTCTTACTTGAGAGCCCTTGTTATGTAACTGTCTATCACTTTCTTGCTGCTCTTAGGATTTTCTCTTTTTCCTCAAAGTTGGATAGTTTAACTATTATATGCCTTGGTGAGCTCTTCCTGGGGTTTAGTCTACTTGGTGTCTTCTCTGCTTCCTGTATGAGTGACTGATTCTCATTCATTAGGGTGGGGTAGTTCACTTCCAGAAATGCCCTTTTAAGTTTAGCTTTTGACTTCTTTGCTGTGTCTTGTTCTGGTAGGCCGATAATTCAGATGTTGAACCTCTTCGTAGCATCCATCATTAATCTCAGGTTTTCCTCTATTTTATTACATTGTTTGATTGTCTTTCTCATTTGCTGAGGTCTGCCTGATTGTCTTCAAGATCTCTGATACGGTTTCAGCCTCTGCTAGTCTGTTCGTGAGATCAGTGATCTTGTGTGCAGCTTCTGCTACTTCATCCGTTAGCTCCTGTATTTCCTTTTGGTGCATAGACTTCATTCCCTCTGTCATGGACTTCATCCCCTCTATCATGGCCTTCATCCTACTATCATTGCATCCTTAGTCTGTGTAGCTTCCCTCATCTCCTATATTACTCCAAGTAGCCTTCTGAAAATTTCTTTTTATAGCAGATCCACGTCAGATTCTTCTGTGAGTGTTGTTAGCTCTGCTGATGTGGTTTGTCTTTCTTGTTTACTTGTTGGGAGTGATGTGGTATGCTGTTGTTTACATGATGATTTCCAAGAGCTGGGCACCATATTTCTGGGAGACCAAGAGGCCCTGCATTCTTTCACTGTGTGACTGGCAATGGTGTTTTCAAGTGATGCCTGTGGCCTACTATGCAGGTGGGTCAGGTTGCTGTGTAGGCAGGTGCTTCAGTAACTCAGTGGTCAACAGCGATGAGAGGACAGCTGCGGGCAACTCAGTCTGACTGGTGGATATCTCCGGTACAGTTGGAGGGCTGTAGCAACCAATGGGTGGGTGGCAGCGCCATTCAAGTCTAAGGTGGTGTGACTGGTATGAGCTGGGGTAGCATCCAGAACTGGGTCGTTAGTCCCCTGTATTCCGGATATAGGCTACGTTTGAAGCAAGGATACCCCCTGTTCCAATCGCTGCGTGGTCTGGGACCAGACTGGGCAGCAAAGATCCCCAAGCTGTGATAGACCCAGGCAGCGCTATCTAAGACCCCAGGGGCTGGGCACTTGCTGGGCGGGCCTGCAAGGACCTTGTCCGAAACCCCACGGCTCTGGTCGAAGGGGCGTGCAGTGGGCCTGCCAAGACCCAGTCCATGACTGAGCGAGGCAACTCGTGACAGGCCTGCAAGTACCTGGTCCACATCTCCGCTTCCCTGTGACTCTGGCTGAGGTGGCGTGGAGTGGGCCTGCAGGGCCCCAGTCCGCAACTCAGAATCCCTGTGGTTCCAAGCAAGGTGGCACACGGTGGGCCTGCAAGTCCCCCAGTCTGCGACTCGGAATCCCCACGGTTCCGACCGAGGCAGCTCATAGTGTGCCTGCAAGGCCCTGGTGTGAGACTCGGACTCCCCACAGTTCCAACTGAGGCAGCATGCAGCGGGCCTGCAAGGCCCTGGTCCACGTCTCTGCTTCCCGTGGCTCTGGGCACAGCTGCAGGCCATAGGCCTACAAGTCCGCAGTCTGCGTCTCTGCTTCCCAGCAGTTACGGGCAAGTTTGTGCGTGGTGAGCCACATCTCTGCTTCCCATGGCTCTAGGCACAGTGGCACACAATGGCCTGCAAGGTTCTGGTCCGCAACTCAGACTCCCTCCAGCTCAGGCTAAGGCAGCGCACAGCAGGCCTGCAAGGCCCCAGTCCACGTCTCTTGTTCCCCACGGCTCGGCTCCGGGTGAGTTTGTGTGCAGCAGGCTGTAAGTCTCCGATCCACGTCTCCGCTTCCCCACAGCTCCGGGTGTGGTGGCACACGGCCTACGAAGCTTGGGTCTGCAACTCAGACTCCCCTCAGCTGTCCCATTGTACCATTTTATAAATAATACTCCATGGATAGGACTTGTACTTAAAATCTAGGAGAAATTACAGGAAATTAGCACATTTCTTTTTTCTTTTACATTTCTTGCTATTAATTTCATCAGAATTTTCTTCTTCCTCCCTCAACCTTTTTTTAATATGACAATTTTTTTAACAGTTTGTAAGTTGTGAATTAAGGTGGTTCTTTGACATTTCAGGTCATCAATTTTGTATTCAACAACTTGTGTCAGTAATTAGGAAAGATTCAAATAAAATCCCCTTTCAGTAATAAGACTTGATACTGTCTATACACTCACTTGAAAAATACTTGTTTTTTTATCTACTGTTATATTCTACTACTGTATGTACCACTAGTAAAGACCTGGGAGCAGAGTACCTCCTTTGGACCAAAGAGCCCTAGGCTGTGAATCTTCTAGACCCAGGGGAAGCTTGATGCTGAGACGTGGAGATCTTCAAGGGGATTCGGGTCCACATTGCTGACCAAGAGGAAAAAAAAGCCTTCCCCTAGGGCTAGGGCCTTGAATTCAAACTTCTAGCTTCCTAAACTGTGAAAAGGACTGTTCATTAAAACTGTGCTTTTGTGGTATTTCTGTTACAGCATCATCAGATAACCAAGGCATGTAGTATTTCTGTCATACAAATGCATTAAACATACACAACCTCAAGAGAATGCATAATAGTCAATTATAATATCTGTGATTGATTAAAATAATCAGGAAGTTGGTGTTTTGAATATATGTATTACCTTTGATTTAAATATTAATTGTAAGTTTTTGTCATTTAATTAGTAATAATGGCTACATTTAACAACTGGACCTATAAATTTTGGGTAAATTTATCAGCTTTCTTGAACTGGTATGAACTGACTGTATTAGAACACTGAATAGCCATGTTGCTTTTGTTTGTTTAACCAATTATGTAATGCTGGCAACACAACCTTCCAACTAGTTCTTTTCCTAAAATGCTGATCTGACTGTAGGCCCAGTAAGGCATGCCACAATCAGGTCCAAAATTTCTTTTCCAGACCTATTTCAAATCCTATTCATCCCTCACATCTTCTACATTCACTTAGACTAGGTTTAGATTTTTTGTAGCTCCTCAAATGCACCTTGCATTTTCCCATCCCCACACCTTTCAGTATCTTCCCTCAGCCTTAAATGATCTTGCCTGATCTGCCTGACTTTTGGAAGGCTGTTTGTTTATTCTCCTAGAAGTAGTTCAACTGCTACTTCCTTTTGCCCATTGCTGGAAGCATTCCCATGCTTTTGATGTTCTCTTACATTTTATTTACACTTTTTACTCTGAGTACTAATTATCATCAATATTAACAAATCTGTTTCTCTCAGTAGATTATGCATTTCCAAAGGGTGCTTTTGAATCATCCTGCACCTAGCACATTAATTTCTAAGAGTGATAATAAGCATTGTTTTTGTATTCTGTATTTTGGGTTTGTTGATGCTTTAAACTAGGAAGAATTGTGGATAATGTTTGATACGTCACCCTTTAAAAGATTTTTTTTTAGTATGTTATATCCTTTTTAAAGGGAATGTTTGTAAGTCTTTGGAAAGCAATTGAAGCTCACTTTGAACTGGATGTTTTGTTCCTGTTTTTTTCTTCTGTTGATTCAGAACCACAATATCATTTATACACCCATATTCTGCACCTAAAGAATAGAATCTTGATGACTTTGTAACTTACCCAATAGGGTTTTCATTTCAAGAGTATATGACCCAAGAGCCAAAAGATTAAATTACATAATTGGGTTGTTTGTATTATTCTGAATGTAGTGCATTTTAGAGTATTTTCAGTATAACGCCAAGTGTTACTTTATAATTTTCCCAGCATAAAGTTAAATGAGGCCTTTGTTTCAGTAAACTGCCGCTAAAAGAAAGAAGAATATCATGCTTTGCTTTATGACTTGAGAGAAATTTGCTTTTAAATAAGCCCATAAGGGTAAATTCCTCATTAGGCTTTCTGGTATTTTATGTAGATTTAGAATTATCTGATGGCCTTCATTAAAAAAAGGTATTAACAAATCTAGTTGTGTGAAGAAAATGTCGTTTGAAAGTAAAAACAATCCAAGAATTTCTTGAAGCAAAGGCAGCAGCACATTCCTTGTTAATTGTTCCAGATTTTCTTCCCACCTGCTGCCACCTGATGGCAAACATTAAAATGACATCTTCTATGACATTGAAAACTTCTTTTAGAATTATTTAGACTTATATGGAGTTAATGTAGTCTTCTAAAACAAGTGAACATTTGTACAAGCTATATGTATTTGATAAATGCATTAATTACTTGGGACTGAAGGGTGGTCATATTTATTATTTAACTGTTATTTATTACTTAAGATCCCTAAATGGCCCTGTCAATTTGTCCCTAGCTATTAACCACAAAGTTGGTGGTTCAGATCTACCCAGTGGTGCCTCCAAAGGCTGCCCCAGAGATCCACTTTGAAAGGATCCCAGCTGTTGAAAAATTACATAGAGCAATTCTACTCTGACACACATATAGGGTCACCATGAGTTGAAATCAACTCAACAGCTGGACATTTGGATTTTTGGTATATATCATTTAAACAGCCTCCTAAGGAGATTTCTATTAAAAGCTTATCGCTTTTATAGAGTTCTACAAAGAATCTATTTTTCAATGACAAGTTTTACCTAAACATATTTTCTCTTTTCCTTCCCTTTCTCTGTCTTCAGCACGAAGTCACTCGGACACCATGGTGTTCTTTTACCTGTGGATTGTCTTTTGCATCATCAGTTCCTGCTACACCCTCATCTGGGATCTAAAGATGGACTGGGGTCTCTTTGATAAGAATGCCGGAGAAAACACCTTCCTCCGGGAAGAGATTGTTTACCCCCAAAAAGTATGTGTGTGTGAGAAAACTCAAGTGTTCACCAGCTAAATCCTAAGGCAGCACAAATTCTGCCCAAGCCTTTCTCATAAGAAAAATAACTGTAGTTATAAGAAGTACTAATTCAGCCCATGAAAACGTCTCGGATGTTTACTCTGTCCTAGGCACTGGATTAAACCAGGAGGTCCCTAGGCAGTGCAAATGGTGGACAAGCTCAGCTGCTAACCAAAAGGAGTCTACCCAGTGGTGCCTTGGGGGGAAAAAACTACTCTCAAAAAATTAGTTATACAAAACCCTGCTGAGTACAGTTCTGCTCTCACATGGGGGTGCAGCAACTGGCTGCTGGTTATAGCATATACACTATATGCTAAACAGATACTTCAGAAGAGGAATGGATAAGTTGCTATAATTTATCAGTTGTTTTTAAACACACAATTCCCTCTAAAAAGCCCACTCTCCCATTTTGTCTGCCTTGCAACCTCCTGTTTCCCTCTTTAAGAATGATTTTAAGTGTTACAAGGGTAACTTTCTCTAAAGCCCAAACAAAACCCACTGTTCTGTCCCACCCACAGCAACATTACACTGAATCTTTACAGGGGCAGACAGCCTCATCTTTCTCTCAAGGAACACTTGGCGGACCTTGCAGTAAGCAGGCCCACGCCTAGCCCACAGTGCTACCAGGGCTCGCTCTTTTTCTTAGAAGCTTTTTGAACTGTTTGCCCTGCTCCTATTTTGCCTAGATAAATTTCCATTATAGCAACTATTGCATTGTATTATAATTACCTTTTAAAGTTTCAGTGCCCCTCACTGTCCAGCAGAGTGCTTGGTTGAGAGCAGACTCAATAAATCTTCCTGGAATTAATGGATGGAAGGTTAACTTAGCAGTATTATGAAAGCAGAGAGAGGACTGCCTGGTTCTGCTTGGATGAATCAAGAAGACTTCTCCTTTCATTATTTCAACCAATATTTGTTCTAGTCAGATTCCAATTCAATTTTGCAAATATCAATAATACCTGAAAATTGTCTTAGAGTTTTAGCTACATATAAATTAAAGGAACAAAAAAAGCCAAACTGCCATCAGATGGATTCCGACTCCTAGGAACTCGTGGGACAGGGATGAATTGCCCTGTCACGTTTCCAAAGCTGTAACTCTTTACATGAATAAAAAGGCTTTTTTCTCCTGCAGGGCAATGGGTGGTTTCAAACTGCTGGCCTTGTATTTAGCAGCCCATCATGTATCCACTACACCACAGGGCTCCTTATTAAAACTTTAAAAGCCCAAGAGTACCTTTACTCCAGTGTTTTAGGAAAGGATCGCTATCATGATTAAACCCTGGGAAGGAATGAAGCAATGAACTAGGAATCTTGGTATGTGAGTTTTAATCCCAGCTCTCTTGCTAACTGAAAACTATAGTGGATTCTCTTCTATAATGGGACGATGTTGAGCATTTTATCTCTTTGATCTTTCACAATTATAAATGTCTCTGATGGAAGAGAACAGTATGGATTGGAGATACTGCCAAAATATCTCTAGTACTCAAAATTACGCTTGAAAAAAATTAATGAATGTGTAATATTAGTAATCCCAGAGGTTTTAAAATGTGAGAAATGAAGGTAAAAGATAGGAGAATACATACAAAGAATGGAAATAGGGTTACGTATGGTGAGCAAATGAAGGTAGAAGAGAGAATATTCATTCAGAAGTGATTGATTTCTTTGAATCTAAGCTATAGTAATAATCATACCAAATTTAGAATATGTGACATATCTTTATATATCTGATTTTGAGGGGGCAAAAGATCACTCTCTGGGTAGTGCAAACATGTAATCACTCAACTATTGGTCGAATAGTTAGTGGTTCAAGCCCATCCAGATGCACCTCAGAATACAGGCCCGGCCGGCTGCGTCCAAAAGCCACAGCCTTGAAACCCCTACGAAGCAGTCCTCTGCACACACGGGACCACTCGCCGACTCAGTCACTGCCAACGACAGTCCTTTCAGACTTCTTGTTCTTGACTTAGTGAGAGATGTGTTTTTCCTTAAGGCTGATTGCTTACATAAACTATATCTTTATAAAAGTTCATTCATCCCCCTCTAAAAATTTATCCCATGTAATAAAATTAGTAATAGAATGTTTAAGTCATTTCCCTATTAGATGTTTTCATGATAAAATGTGTGCTTTCCTACATGGGTTTCCATATATATAACCAGATAAACTGTAAAATCTGTTCTTAGGATGAACAATACATACAGTTGAACACCACATTTCAAATCCAAGAAGCATGTTTATTATCTTCCTATTAAAATTTCACTTCTCTGTATCTCTGAATCTCAAGTTGAATGTATTCCTCTTAAAAGATTTTTCACATTTTAGGTAACATGAGCTTTCATCTCAGTCAAATATAGATCAGCTTAAGGCTAGCTAACTCTAAAAGGCAGCATGAAATTGCAGTTCTTCATATAAACTTAATACTGAGTCCATTGAATGTGGCTGGATCTAAAACTTGCAGTACCGCTATCATAAGAGGCTGAGGAAGGGGAGAAATAAGGAGATGTATTCATATTTAAAATCTTTGCCTATCGAACTGGAAACACAGGGAATCTAGGACAGATGAACCCCTCTGGACCAGCGGTGACAGTGGCGATACTGGGAGGGAAGGCTGGGTAGAAAGGGGGAATCGATCACAAGGATCTACATATAACCTCCTCTCTGAGAGATGGGCAACAGAAGGGTGGGTGAAGGGAGAAGCCAGGCAGTGTAAGATAAGATATAATAATAATTTATAAATTATTAAGGGTTCATGAGGAAGGGGGGAGGGGGAAGGGAAAACAAAATGAGGAGCTAATACCAGGAACCCAAGAAGAAAGCGAATTTTGAGAATGATGAGGGCAACAAATGTATAAGTGTGCTTTATACAATTGATGTATGTATGGATTGTGATGAATTGTATGAGCCCCAATAGAATGATTTAAAAAAAAAAATCTTTGCCTATCATAAGTAGCAATGGATAACGTCTAACACTGATGAGTCAAAGTATAGTAGTATACACACATTTAGAAATATGAAGGGCAAACAGCAGAAATAGCTATAGATATTGGAAATATTTGTCTCGGTGGGAAAGGAGCTGTTGATATTTTTTTAATGGCTTCTGACACTAATATGACTTAATTTTAAAAGTTTTGTTTTTTAACAAAATAAACACAGATTTAAAACAAGCTATTGTTTTCCCCAAAAGATGTCACAGCCTAGATGTGCAAATGTCTAAATTCATGAATTATGGTTGTGGTCAATTGGTGATGTGTATGCTTAAGACTTTTAGATTCTTAAAAAAAGAGACTTTTAGATTCTTAAATGCTGCTGCACTAAGTAAAGTATTAGTTGTGCATGTTTGTTAGGAATGAGGTGGGAGGCATATTCAATCTGTGTGTTGTTCCTCAGGCCTATTACTACTGTGCCATCATTGAGGATGTGATACTGCGCTTTGCTTGGACTATCCAAATCTCAATCACCTCCACGACTGCGTTGCCTCATTCTGGAGACATCATTGCTACTGTCTTTGCTCCCCTTGAGGTTTTCCGGTAAGCAAACAAGTAAAAGATGTATCAAAAGTCCTTTTCACCTAAAGACAAGTCACTAGTTATAGATATGAATTTATTGTTAAACTTTTACTTGAAGAGCTTAAATTATTCAACTTCTCTTCGGCCTCTTAGTTGGAAAATCCTAATTGAGGGACTTGAGTTTAATACTTAAGTCGAACTGATTGTTGATGATGACTTACAAGCTATTTTATTTAGAATTGGAGTCTACTGGAGAAGAGTCATGAGTAGAAATTGAGAGGTAAAAAGACTGAGAACAGAATTTAAAATCTTGTATCATATCAGGAAGTTAGCAGTCTAGGTTATTCAGCCCAACCTTCTCGTGGAAAACAGTAAAAATGCCAGGTGAAATATTTTTTAAATCTCTCCTAAAAGCATCAGTCATCTGACAGGATAGCCCCAAATATAGAAGCAGGAACTCCCAAGGGAAGCATAACATTCAGACCACTTAGGCCCTAACGAAATTTACTATAATTTTAGATGTTGAGATTCAGTTATAATGGGCAATTCAGATCTATATGTACTTAATGGCATAGTTGGGGGGACATGGGGGATGATGAGTACAAGGATGAAGAAAACATTCTAAACTGATTGTGATAATAATTGTACACCTCTTCTTGATGTGATTGAACTATTGAATTGTATGATGTTTGAAAATATTAAAAAAGGAAACTTACCATTGCTAAAAGTAGAATCAGATGAGCTTACAGTCTTCTGTGTCTGGTAAATAATGTGTGTATAACAAAACACTTGACATTTTACTCATCATGTTCAACCATTTCCCTTATCTGTACCAACTTTTCCTATCACCTATACCAGAAGCTTAGTGTCCCCTGTGCCTTGAATCTCTCTCTCCCCTTTCTTTCCTGCTGCCCCTAGTAGCCAGAAATAAGCTTTGATCTCTGTTCATTTGCCTATTCTAGATAGTTCAGAAAGACTGGATCATAGAATACTTGTCCTTTTGTGACTGACTAGCTTATTTCACTCAGCACACACTGTTTTCAGGGTCCATCCATCTTACAGTATACCATGACCTGATTTCTCTTCATGGGTGACTAATGTTCTATTATATGTACACAGACCATATTCTGTGTGTCCATTCACCTGCTGTTTCTGCTTTTTTACTGTCATTACCAGTGAACATCGGTGTCCAGATTTCTGTTTGTCTTCCTACCTTTACTTCTAGGATTGCTGGGTCCTCTCATCTTAATAACTGGTAGCACCATTCATTCAAGCCAAAAACCTAAGTCCACTCACATCCCTTGTCAATAAGTCCTATTTAGCTCCATCGTCAACAATAAATCCCGTCTGTTTCTTGACATTTCTATAATTAGTATCTTAATCCAAGTCATCATTGTCTCTTCCCTGGATGACTCCAAATCCCTTCTAGTGGGTCTCTTTTCAGTCTGTGTACAGTACAGCAGATAAAATGATCTTTTTAAAACAAGTAGTATCATTGTCCTGCTGAGAACTCTCATTGTTTTCCAGTTTTCCATCACACTTAAAATCTCAAATCTGTACTGTGACTCTTAAAGATAAAGACTCCATCTTTATCTCCTGCCATTTTAACCTCATTTATTCCACGTTCTCCCCATTTGTCTCTGTTATTGTTTAAACCAAAGGCCTTTCCAACTTGAGGCCTCTTGTACATGTAGTTCTCTCTGCTTGGAATATTTTACCTAACTCACTTCCTTGCATCTTTCAGATTTTGCTAGATGCCATCTCTACAGAGCAGCCATCCTCATGAGCTTTATCACATCTTACTCTCTCTTGGCCTGAATTATCTCTCTCCCTCTCCTCCACCCACAACCCCCCTTTTTTTCCCCAGAGGAACCCAGGTTGGCATAGTGGGCTATGAGTTCGGCTACTAACTGCAAGGTCAACAGTTAGAAACCACCAGCCGCTCTGAGAGAGAAAGAAGAGGCTTTCTACTCCCATGAAGAGAGACAGTCTCAGAAACTCACAGGGGCAGTGGGTTTGGAATGGGCTTGATGGCTTTGAGTTTGAGCTGACTGAGTTATCTCTAGCAGAGCACTTGCCCTTAGCCAATTGTTTATTGACCAGAACTTGCATCTGTTCTGTCTGCTCTGTTCGGTGCCTTTCCCTGTCCTTCATATTTGTAGAATAAAGTGAAAGAATGTGTTCTGAAATTGCCTTCCATGATGAGTTCCATCCCTTTGCCTTCTGTGCTGTTATTTTTCCCCTCATATTTTCTATTTTATTTTTATATTCTAACCCCTTCGTTCCTTGTGTTATTTTCCATGAGTTGAAACTTGATATTCTAGGAAATATACAGGTGATAATAGTATATCTAAGGTATGTAAGTAATTTACTTAGCATAATAAAATATTTTAAGCAAATTTAGATGTTATGAGAATACTTAAGTTTGAACTGGTATATGCTTTGCTGTGTACATTCTCAGTAGCAACAAAATCAATTTAAACTTTTTCCGTTTTTAAAATGCTTATGCGTGCTTTACCCCCTCAGGCGATTTGTATGGAACTTCTTCCGCCTGGAGAATGAACATCTGAACAACTGTGGTGAATTTCGTGCTGTGCGCGACATCTCTGTAGCCCCCCTGAACGCAGATGACCAGACCCTCCTGGAGCAGATGATGGACCAGGAAGACGGGGTGCGCAACCGCCAGAAGAACCGGCAGTGGAAGTACAGCCAAAGCATATCCCTGCGCCGGCCTCGCCTCGCTTCCCAGTTAGTATGGGGTCTGTCCCGGGGAAGCAGGTTTCTGTAAAGGTGTTTTATCGTGGAGTAACTTCTAAACTAAGATGCTATTGAGCTAGACCAAATAAAATTGCAGATACTCAACAGATCTCACCTACAATAAACAGCCACTTAATGTGGTACAACCTACGGAATGATAATGAGCACGTTGAGTGTAGCAGTCATTCGTGCATGACTTGCTAGCTTGGCACTCAAAGTACACTATTTGGGGAAATTTTGCTGGGAAATTATTTACATGACTAGCATATTTTATGCAAAAATCATTTTCAAGTTATAAATATTAGGACTCTGCCATTTCCCCTCTGTTGACCAAAGTACTTAATTTCCCAGTGTTATTCTTACCTGTGAAATGGGATTGTTTTGTCACTTTCTGACTTGGTAAGTTCTTAAAAGTGAAAATAAGGTAGTATATGATGGTGCACTTGAAATTTAGGGGTGGTAGCTAACAAAGTGGATTGGAATGAAGGGGCCAGGACCAAAAAGGCTTTTGAGGACCCGAATAAGCCAGAAGCTTAGTGTGAGTGAACACAAGGTGGGAAACAACACTGATCCTGGAGGCAGGGGA